CATTAATTTCCCCAGAACAAGGTGGGATGATACACACTGATACCACCAACCGTGGGCGCCCTCCCCAGCCTTGGTGTCCAGAGTCTTTATTGAGGCTCTAATGTATGCATGGTAAATGCTCACATAACCAATAACACATGACCAAAGCCCCCACCTTAATCACACTTAGATGATCTAGTGTGGCCCAAGGCCTCCGGGTAAACAGAAACATTGTTATCAGCTAGACATTTCAGGGACTCAGAGAATTCCTCCCAGAAATCAGTGCAGAGGCGAGTTTTATTACTTTTACTATTATTATTATTGAGACTGGATCTCGCTCTGTCATGCGGGCTGAAGTGGCAGGGATAGCTCATAACTCACTGCAACCTCAAATTCCTGAGCTTAAAGCAACCCTCAGCCTTGGTCTCCAGAAAGTTCAATTCTTTGCTACACAGTAGAGAAGGGAGATTCGACTTAATGAAGGTAGCGGTAATGACTGGCAAAAAGTAAAACAACTTCAGGTTTGTGCTTCACCCACTGAACACGACATTCACTCTTTACCCGCCTTCTTCTTTGTGACCTAACTTCCCCCCCTGGAGCCTTGCTCGGCACTGGCCTGAGTGCCTGTGCATTAGTACAGCCTGTGCATTGGTGTAACCTACACATACACCTCCCACCTGAGAACAGAAAGCACCGACTAGTCTAGGCAGAATCAGGCAGGAATCTACGCAAAACCCCACAGCATAAAATTCCAACGTGACACCCACTCATTTTTATTAACAAACTCTTTTTAAATGGCAAACACATCAGAAAAGTTAGGAGTTTGGTATACGTCATTCCAGCTGCTGTCATTAGCTTTATCTTACTGGTCTTCATCCTGAAAGCTGGATTAAACCACTTGTTTGGGCCGGGCGCGGTGGCTCATGCCTGTAATCCCAGCACTTTGGGAGGCTGAGGCGGGCAGATCACGAGGTCAAGCGATTGAGACCACCGTGGCCAACATGGTGAAATCCCGTCTCTACTAAAAAATACACAAATTAGCTGGGCATGGTGGCGCACGCCAGTAATCCCAGCTACTCGGGAGGCTGATGCAGGAGAATGGCTTGAACCCAGGAGGCGGAGGTTGCAGTAAGCCGAGATTGAGCCACTGCACTCCAGCCTGGTGCCTGGCGACAGAGCAAGACTCTTGTCTCAAAAAAAAACAAAACAAACAAAAAAAAAACCACCACTTGTTTGTAGGAAATAGAAACTAAAATATCATGAGTCACAGACGTTTTCTCCAAGCAGGTGAGTCTTGGAAGCCACTTCTGTTGCTGACTTTTCTAAATAATAGTGTCCAAAGCTCCTGGAATTTCTGAAGAGCTACCCAGAAAAAATCTCAAGTGACAATCATTTAGTAGTGTTTGCCTGGAGCAACAAATTGAGGAAAATTCTGAGACCTTACCTGCCCTCGGCTTGAAAACGTGTGGTAATGCATTAGTAAGTTCAGTCATGGCCGCAGGAGAGGAGTAGCGTTAGCACCTTCTAGTTCTCATCCTGATATTTAACCTCACTACTTAACCTCACCTGACACTAATAAATATTTAACCTCGGGCCCGACACCTCTCTTGGGGCAGCTGGGCCACTTGCAAACCCTTAAGTTAAAATCTATGGTTCTTCATCCTTGCCCACTCACTGGCCAATCCGACCTTCCCAGCTGTTTCTCTCCAGGTGATGTTTTACTCCTAATGATCCAAAGACTATGCACCAACCTGCGAGCACCATTGGCTCTGAGGTCAAAGGTAACAATTGCTCCTTCACAGTTGTGCTTTGGGCCAGTTTCTCAGTATGTTCTGAATACGCTGACCCAGGAAAAAGAGGGCAGAAGTAGGACTTAATTTCTCCAGAGCAGCACTATGCAAGCATCTTCACCCCTAGTGAAGGAGCATCCATTTTCATCTTCAAGGTTCTGATCATACTGCCACCAGCAGCATCATAGCTAACGTTTGTGTGTTTACCATGTGCTAAACAGTGAGCTAAGTACCTTTAATGTTCATGCCAACTCTGTAAGTTACACGTGATCATCAGCCCCACTTTATAGACAAAGAAACTGAGGGATAAAACGATTTAAAAATTTGCCCAGTCAAGCGAAGTTTTATGTCGTTCACCTGAGTCCAGAGATTCAGCTTTAAATATTACCTTATATTGCTCACATCTTGCAAAAAAAAATAGCCGTGCACAGTTGTGTTCTGTGTTTAAAAATCATACAGATTACATATTCTATTCTACAATAAATCTGGGTGTGTTTTAATATAAAAATCATATTACTTCTCATACCCTGGAGTCAAGTTGATGCTCCCACAAGAGATGATGTGTTTATCCTGAGGTTTGATTTTCCCCTTGGGGTACAGGTGCACTGTGAGGAAAACAGCACCAGGCACCGGATTTTGTTCTAATGATGAATGTACTTTGTTCTAATGATAAAATGTATTTTGTTCTACCTAATGATAAAATGTGTAAAGACAGAAAGCTAATGTTATCTATTCTCCATGCATCCTTGCTACATGTGAGACTATGAACAAGAGGCCAGGAGTTCAAAGAGAAAGAATGACCAGAATATTCCACATAAAGAAAAAGAGGAATATTTTCGTTTGAATTAAAAATATGCAAGTTGAAAACATTTGAAAATTACCCCACTTCTTACTTTTATAGAGAAAACAGGACATAATCATTACTCAGTATATGGAGCCCATTAAATATAGTCCTATATAAATGATCGTGAAAGTCATTACTTTTTGAAAAGCTATAGGCTCCAGTTTTTCCATAGCCCAGACCCCAGGGCCTTTGTCCTGCCACCTTTCCTAACATCAGTGACACATGTTTTACATCTAAGTACTTAGAGGTAAAAGTTTTACTTTGTCTCAAGTCCTCATAGGCAAAAACATAGGCTTAATAGCAAGAGTGCATTGTGTTGTGGGTTACGTATAGTAATAAGCATGCAATATCACATAGCATATGTCAGCAATATATTCAATACTGAGGCCAGATTCCATAAAGGTCAGTTCTCTGCGGATAGGACTGAACTGTATCTGCCACATGAGGTAACACTGAGTACCTCCAGTTATGTGTCATCTCCTGAGGAATGAGATATTAATCTTCACTATTTGATGAGTACCCTTTTGAAATGTATATAATTGTTTAAGTTTTATTTTAGGTTCAGGGGTACATGGGCAGGTTTCTTCCATACGTGGTTGTACAGATTATTTCATCACCCAGGTATTAAGCTTAGTACCCATTAGTTATTTTTTCTGATCCTCTCACTCCACCCATCCTCCACCCTCCAAAAGGGCCTACAGTGTTTTGTTTTCCTTTGTGTGTCCATGTGTTCTCATTATTTAGCTCCCATTGATAAGTGAGAACATGTGGTATAAACCCACATTTTCTTTATCTAGTTATCAGGGATGGGCATTTAGGTTGATTCCGTGTCTTCGCTGTGATGAACGGTACTGCAATGAACATAAAAGTGTATGCGTTTTTGTAGTAGAACAATTTATATTCCTTTGGGGATATACCCAGTAATGAGATTGCTGGGTTGAATGGTATTTCTGTCTTTAGGTCTTTGAGGAAGTGCCACACCGTCTTCCACAATGGTTGAACTAATTTATACTCTAACCAACAGTGTATAAGCATTTCTTTTTCTCAACAGCCTCACCAGCATCTGTTATCTTTTGACTTTTTAATAATAGCCATCTGACTGGTATGGAATGGTATCTCATTTAGGTTTCAATTTGCATTTCTTTAATGATCAGTGACATTGAGCTTTTTTTCATTTGATTATTGGCCACATGTATGTCTTCTTTTGAAAAGTGTCTGTTCATATCCTTTGCCTACTTTTTTATGGTGTTGTTTTTTTCTTCTAAATTTGTTTAAGTTATTTATAGATGCTGGATATTAGACCTTTGTCAGATGCTGTATTAGTTTGTTCTCACACTGCTAAAAGAACTACCTGAGACTGGGTAATTTATGAAGAAAAGAGGTTTAATTGACTCACAGTTCTGCAGCCTGTACAGGAAGCATGGCTGGGGAGGCCTCAGGAAACTTACAATCATGGCGGAAGGTGAAGAGGAAAGCAGCATGTCTCACAGGGTCAAAGCAGGAGAAAGAGAGTGAAGCGGGAGGTAATACATCAAACAACCAGATCTCGTGAGAACTCTATCATGAGGTGGCACCAAGGGGACAGTGCTAAACCATCAGAAACCCTTCCATGATCCAATCACCTCCCACCAGGCCCCACCTTCAACACTGAGAATTGCAATTTGATGTGAGATTTGGGTGGGGACACAGAGCCAAACCATATCAGATGCATACTTTGAAGCAATTTTCTCCCATTCTGTAGGTTGTCTGTTTATTGATAGCTGTGTTAGCTGTGCAGAAGCTCTTTAGTTTAATTAGATCCCATTTGTAAATTTTTGCTTTTGTTGCCATTGCTTTTGATGTCTTCATCACAAAATCTTTGCCCATGCCTATGTCCTGAATGGTATTGCCTATAAAATTCTTCTAGGGATTTTATAGTTTGGAGGTTTACGTTTAAGTCTTTAATACATCTTGGATTCATTTTTGTAGATGGTGTAAGAAAGGGATCCAGTTTCAGTCTTCTGCATATGGCCAACCAGTTATCCCAGCACCATTTATTGAATGGTCTTTTTCCCATTCCTTGTTTTTGTCAGGTTTGTCAAAGTTCAGATAGTTGTAGGTGTGCAGCCTTATATTCTGGGTTCTCTATTCTATTCCATGAAATGTATATAATTAATCCCCAATATGTCATGCATGAGAAATTTGGCAATATAAATTTGAAACCTAAAAGCTGGCCTTTACTTAGCTTTAGCAGATGACAGTCTATAGGCAAAATAATCAAATAAGCCAACTAAAAAACCAGAATAGAAACTTTCTTTTCTTTTTCTATATTCAAGAGAGCAGGAATGTTGTTCCATGAACACAGGATGCATTTTAACTTCACACCAACTGCATATGATTTTACATACTCTGCTCTTATATCCAGGTAGTGAGCTGATATCAGACTTACGTAAACCTGAGGCTGAAGGGAAGAGGTCAAGCTTGTTCACATAAGAGGGAAGTAAAATGACAGCTGGAATCTCTGCTCCCAGTGCTTGAGCAACTGCAGGAGCCAGCTTGGAACACTGTCACAAAGAGAGCTGGCCACTGGCTTTTCCCAGCCACTGGTGCCATTGGTGAGTGGCTGAGGAGGAAGAGGAGCCATGAGCTCAACACTGACTAGGTGGGTCCCAGGGAACAGTGGGAAGAAGACACAGTAAGTCTTTGGGTCACAGCTCCTTTCTTTTCAGCCCCTTTATTATACCACTTTCCACTGTCAGTGACCAAGTACCACTTTATCAGTAGATGATTAAGTACCTGATACCCACCTATAATGTGGTGTATTCATTTGTGAAGGCCGGCACAAAAATGTACCAGAAGCTGCAGGGCTTAAACAATATATATTTTTTGTCTCACAGTCCTGAAGCCTGGAAGTTCAAGATCAAGGTATCAGCAGGGTATCCTGACGTTTTCTCTGAGAGAATATGTTCTATCCCCTCTCATAGCTTCCGGGAGTTTGCTGACCATTTTTGGCATCCCTTGACTTGTAGATGCATCACCCAGATCTGTCTTTATTGTCACAACATTCTCCCTGTGTGTATGTTCCCCCTCCTTAATAAGGACAGCCACCACACTAGATTAGGGCTCACCTTACTGCCTCATCTCAACTTGATCATCTGCAAAGACTCTATTTCCAAATCAGGTGGCCCCAGCTTCCCCATCACCATTTGAATCAGTTTCCTGAATTAAATTCCCTCTGTGAGGGTCTTAAAGCAGCAATACTGCAATAGCAATGAGCACACTGAGAACCACATCTTTGTCTCCATATAGACGCATTTATATGGCATGGAATACCAGGTATTCATCTCTATACTATTCTCCACTAAAAGGAGTAGGAAATCCTGAGAGATGTGACTGATTTCAGGGCTATGGAAGGGAAAGAATAAAATGAGCCTGGAATGTCTTTTGGGGCCAGAATGTAAGAAAGTACTCAAAGAATGATGGGGGCATTCAAAAGTACACAAAAGTCAGCTTGAAGGAGCTTTCACTGGCCAAATTAGGGGTCATATGAACAGCAAAATAATGACAATAAAAATTATAATCTATTGAACAAATTAAGAAACCAACAGTTTGTGCTGATATGAATAAGTGGATTAAAAGTTTGATGAGGAAAAGGATATTTACATAGTCTCAAAGTAACCTCCCTCTCAAATACTTAACTACAAAAGGAAAATGATTAACTTTGCGGTGGAGAAACCTGGGACATACCATCCTAAGAAAGTGATTATAGTGAATATCATCAGTAAGAGGACACATGAAAAGTGTTTTCCATCTAATAGAATGCATTGAAAAGAACACGGCATCCTTTCTGTGATATTCCCACCAAACACACATAACCTGAATCTAATCATGAGAAAACATCAGATAAAATCAAATAGAGGATATTCTACAAAACAAATGATATGTAACCTTTAAAAGTGACAAGGTGATGAAAGTCAAGGGAGGACTAAGGAACTCTTCAAACTGAACAAGTCTAGAGAGACACGATATCCAAAGGCAATGTATGATTCCAAACTGGATTCTTGGGTCCTTTTGTTAAAAATGATTATTGAATAGTTGAATGGAGTCTGAAGATTAGACGGTAGTGAGCTAACAATGTTAATTTCCTGATTCTAATGGCTATATCATCCTTACAAAGGATAGTACATCTGTTCATAGAAAATACGCACTGAAGTACCAGGGATGATGTGCAGCAAGCCGGCAACACCCTCTCTGTACTATACCTGCGTCTTTTATATACAGTTTGTGATTGTTTTAAATTTTTTAAAAATTCCTCTGTTGAAAACTTTAAATGGTTTCTGTTTTCCCGTTACACCTGACAGATATATCCTTATCTTCTAGGTGGTAAGCTCTTACAGGCAGAGAGCTCCTTTATAGCTTCCACAACACAAGCCCACTGGCAGGCACATAGTTAATATTAAATCTATATTTGTTGATTTGATCAATGTTAAGGACTCATTAGTCCATGTTAGTGAATTAGTAAACTTTGATTAACCAAGCTAGTTAGTCCGACTGACTAAATTGGTCCTAAGGCCCCATGGTCATCAGTCCAACCCTATGGGCTATGGTCATACACTGACTGCTGGGCTTCACTTTAACCCCAGACTGAGCTTGCATTTGCATCGGGTACTAGGACCTTTATTTCGATCATCAAGTTGTCTTTTAGCCTTCTCAGCTATCTTACGAGATAGGCAAGGTGAGTGTTTCATTTCTGTGATAGATAAGGATACAGGCACTCAAAGATTGAGCCAAAATCACCCAGTAATAAGTGGTAGAGCAGTCATTTGAACTCAACTCTCTGACCCCAAATCTTCCACACACACCTCTGGGCCTGGGAGAAACTGGGAAGAGTGTACACTGTAAGATGACTCACCTAACCAGTTGTTTCAAAAAATATATGAGTGGCTAAGGTATCAACAGCATCATCTCCATCTATGAAGGGCCAAATATTTAAATAATAATGGCTACATTTTAAAGTGAGCTTCCTTCCTCTTTAATACAAAATTTGACTAGCATCTTAGCACACAGACTTAAACACCCCCACAACAGTATAGATAATAACACTTTTATATCTAACTGCACTATAAAATCTAGGCATCAGAAATTTGGGGCACACAAATCCGATCAGTGATTTCCCAGATGCATAACAGGCATTTTGCTAATGAATATTCTATACATTAATAGTGAATAAATCAAGAAATGCAAACATTAAGATTGATGGTAAAGGGCGTTAGCTATGTATTTACATTTTTAAAAAGCATGCATAGGTACAAATATTTAGACTAAATCAGGTTCTATTTTACATTTTGTGCTTTCCAAAAATTTCAGTGTCTTATTTGCTTTTTGACTATCATATTCCCAACACTAATTAATGTAGGTAATTTATCAACTTAATATTTAATTAATCCAATAAATCAATCGAAAAGAGTAATAAACTAAAATGTCGAGTCGAACTGTATATAATAGTAAATTTTTATTTCATATACTTTTCTTTATGTTTACATTTGGAAATCAATACTGATTCAGATTAGTGGACATTCCAACAAGAAATCTGAAAGCAGAATTGTTGAAGTTGTTACATTTATATTTAGTATGATCGCTAATAACTTAACTCTAAAAAAGCTATTCAAGGATGTAGGCTATAGGCCTCCAAATGCAGACTTCAGAAAAAGAAAAATGAGTCCTGCTTAGCAAGAGTAAGTAACCGAAGCACTGATCTCATCCTTTTACCTGTTCTTTCAAGTTAAATTAAGGCAATTCCCAAGGATATGCAAGCCTGACTCCAGACCTCTCTGATATATAATATAAGCTGGCCCAGCAGAGAAATCCTATGGCATCAAATCTGGAGACTTGAAAGTAGAAGAAGGAAAGAGAATGCGGAAGGGGAGTGCCTTTTACCCTCAGGGTAGGGGTAGGAAGCAGAAGGGCAGATTCCAAAAATCAGATTGCCAGTTACATTGGAAGCCAGAGTTCAAACAATGGCCCTAGATGAAGAGCAGAAACCGTGAGTGGAATTAACATAGAGTCAAGGCACCAGGAAAAAAAAGCACTAGTTACTAGGGAAAGGCCTAGTGGGAGTTAGGGCATTGATGCCAACCTACAAGCTGTCCACTGGAGAGATTTTCCCAGAGGAAGACTGAAGCCTGGGGGAGACAGAAAAATGATACTCCCATAAATAATTTGGAACATATATACAATATATATATCAAAAACAAAGGTAATGAATACCAGAGGCTGGAAGGGGGAGTAGCTGGGGAAAAGGGAGGCATTGATCAATGGGTTTGAAGTTTCAGTTGGGTAGAAGGATTAAGTGTCCTGGTGTTCTATTGCACAGCAAGGTCACTGGAGTTAATGATAATGTATTATATATTTCACAATAGCTAAAAGAGAGGATTTTAAATGTTTTCACCACAAAGAAATGATACATATTTGAGGTAATGAATATGCTAATTAGCCTGAATTGATCATTCCACAATGTATACATATCTCAAAACATCACATTGTACCCCAATAATATATACAATTATTACTTGTCAATTAACAATAAAACTATAAAAAAGCAAGAGTAATTAACAAAAAAAAAAATTAACAAAAAAACTACCAAGTTCAACTACGCCCTGAGCTCCCAGTCCCCATTAACAGATGAGGCCACCTAGGGCTCAGAATGTAAAAGGACTTGCCCAAGGACACACTGCTACCAACCAGCAGAGCCAGGACTAGTACAATCGTTGTTAATGTCCCACCCCCCAGTCTGGGACTTTTTCTGCTTTCCTATATTTTCCATAATTTAAATTTAAATACTGATATGGTGTCATGTAGGGGTTAGCAAACTTTTCCTGTAAAGGACAAGACAGTAAATAGTTTAGGCTTTTCAGACCATATGGTTGCATGGTCTCAACTACTTAATTCTACCATTGTAGCATGAGAGCAGCCATAGGCAAAACATGAGCAAATGCGTGTGGCTGTGTTGAAATAAAACTTTATTTGTAAAAACAGGTAGCAAACTGGGTTTTGTCTGTGGGCAGCAGTTTGATGATGCCTGGTCTACAGAAAAAGAACTGTACTTTCTCAGACTTCAGATTCACTGCCTTCATGTATTACTCAGGCTATGGCATGGGTGAGTGTGAAAGAATGAGGTGCATCTTGACCCATCCCCAAAGCTCCTAGACAAGTTAGAAAACCCTTCCCAACCAATGACGTAAATCATTAAAGTCACATATACACACACCCCAGAGAGAGAAGGGGTGAAAGAGTGGGGAGACAGGCTAATGGGTGAACATTTTGGTAGCTAATCAGCTGCCTCTTTTTCTTCTTAGCTATTTAATTAATGAGATCAAGTCAAGCGGCCAAGCTCTCTGCTGCTCTCTGGTGGTAACAGGACACTGTTAGAAGCTATTCCAGACAAGTTGAATACCGTAGAATTTAGCAACGGAGTTCACAAAGTGCTTTGGGACACTAAAGAACTAAATGAATGAGACAGAGTATTTTCAAACTTACTGTACAACATCATAATCAAATCCCTGAAATATTTCTATGAGTGATTTTCCTTCATCCGAAATCCTCATTTCTTTTTCTATCAGGCCCAAGAATCAGTTTTTCTGACACCCGAGGTTTCCATTATTTTTCTTTCGCTAAAGCGGAAGCATCACAATTAATAAACATGGCTCAGAAAAAGCTTTAATTCTTCCAGAACTTTGGGATGAGGCACAAAAAGGTGTAGCAGAGAGTCAAAGGACATTAAGCGTCTATCTGGCAACTAGCTGACAGCAAAGGGGCTTTGAATGCAAATGACAATTTCAACTCGTGCGTAGAGCTAAACGTCAGCAGATTTTACTTCTCATTGGTGCTGGTTTTTTCTAGTGCCTTAATCACAACAGAGAAGCTGAGAACACCATCTTCAGTTTTCTCGTCACTTGGCAACTCTGCGACAGGCACAGGTTGACATTTTATACCAGGAGACTGATCAGACCATTATTTTTGTGACTCAAGCCAAACATGGGTGGGGAGATTCCAAAATCCAGAGGTAAGGAAGAATAGGAACAAATGAGCTTGAATCTTCTATGGGCCCAGGGGCCATGCCGCTCTTACCCACTGTGGTTAATACATTCCAGCTCCTGGAACAGAGACTTATACATTGTAGGGACTAATATGCTTTTACTAAGTGAGTGAGGAAATAATTGAATGAGTAATAAATAGTGTTTATGAGAGTTGTTTATAGGTTAGATAGCACCCTATAAGTAATCATTGCATTCACATTAGAAGTAGTAAAGAGGTAAATTACAAAGCAAGAGATAATGGCAGAAAACGGCACGTCTAACATGGAAAGAAGTTCTTTCCAAACCCACAATTTCTTGTCTCCTTTCTCAATATCACAGCATCAAAAACGGCATTGGAAGGGATTTTTAACACTTCCATTGTGCAAACTTCCACTAACACTCTTTATTGAGAGTTTCCACAATATTCCCACCAAATGGTAGTCACCCAGCCTCTGCTCAAAAGCTCCCAGGGACCGGAACTCAATGTCTGCAAAGACACTTTGTATTTTTGATGGAGAGGGGAAGTTGGATCAGTAGCTAAGTGTAGAAAAAGGAGATTCCAGAGTCATGCTGTTCAATGAGTCACCACGACCCACCCGTGACAATAGAGTACTTGACATGTGACTAGTCCAAACTAGTGCTGTGGTTTTGAAAACTTAATACAAAAAAAGGGATGTAGGGTTTCATTAGTTTCTTATAATGATTACATTGTGAAATCATAGTATCTTGTATCCACTAAGATAAATAAAATATATTATTAAAATTCATTACACTTATTTCTGTTTACCATTTTAATGTGGTTACTAGAACATTTAAAAGTACATATATGGCTCACGTATTTCTACTGGATGGCACGGGTCAAGAGAATGCATTTTGTCTTTCATTTCAGCAAAACAAATAAAATGTCTTTAGGAGACACTAATATGGAAACTCTGGTAGACTTTGAGTATGGAATTCAAAATCCTTACTCAGTAATTTGAATCCTGTTCCCTCTTTTATGGTGTTTGTGTCTGTATTTGTTTCCTTGGCTGTGAAATGGATAAAATATTTTCTTCTTCTCCCGATCTCTACAGAGTCATAGGCTCATCATGAGCCTCTCATATTGACAGTCTCCTGTTGTCCTGGAAACAGTGCAGAAGGAGAGCTGCCTCAACTCAGTGAAAAGAGGGATTCTCTAACAGAGCTCTCCAGAGTGAGAATGATCAGCTTGACTGAACCCTACCCCAGAAGGTGAATGCTACATTTTATATATCTGAAGTATCATCACAGCTAAAAATAGGAAAGGAAGAAAATGTTCTCAGAAGCTCTCTGATAACAAAAACAAAAAATCTTAACCAGTCATTATAAAAGTGTACTATTATTTTATCGAATTGCTATGGCCTACATATATAAATCGCAAGGAATCATTATTGAATGGAAAGTACCTATGACATTTAAGATAAGTATAATCCTTAAGTAAGACAGTAACAATCCTAGTCTTAAAAATTCATTTGAGTATCATTTGACATTGTACCTGCACTTTAAAAGTTTGAGCCTTTTTAACTGGTTTGCTGAACACTCTTGAGACAGTAGGTAAAACATAAAATTTCACTTTACTTATTTTGCTCCGTGTCATGAATGTGTGCAGTCCCCGTGAGCATCTCCCACTAGCTAGAGAGAAAGCATCCCCTCCTTACACATATCCCACACCATTCACACACACACACACATACACACACACACACACACACACACACACACAAAGGCTAATTGCTCAACTCTAAGGATTTCCTACCTCCTCCAGTATTCAGACCAAAGAGATTTGGGTTGCGGTTGGAAGAGTCTGTATTGATTTGGGCAGTCAGATCTGTCCCCTCTTCCAAAGCCCTGAGGGTTATCTTCTCCAGAGCTGTGCTTTCACAAGCCCTAGAAGGTATCTGCTCCAAAGCACAACAGAATTTGGCAACGGATGTATTCAAACTGTCAACTGTGAAAAATGCTTGTAGGCACCACTTGAATTGCCATGTGACCCTAACACAGCAAATAACATAGGAAATGTAAAAATGCATTTTCTGACATGTACAGCAATTAAACTTAAGTTCAGTAACAAAGTGATTACAGGTGATTGCAACTGTCTTTACAGGCTTTCAAGATCAGAAAAAACTGTCTTACCTATTTGAACATAATATTCCTTTTGACAGCAATAAAATTAAAGAAATTCTCTAAGTTCCTTCTAACTAAAATTTAGGTTGCTAAGTTATTTCGTGCAGACTTTCAAAGGGTAAGAATTTTCTTATCTTTAAGAATCTTTTCTTAAGGGTATTTCTTTCTGTGTTAGGTGGAGAGTTTGATTGAACTGCTGAGGTAAGCACTGTTCTGCCAGTTTTAGGCCTAGGCACTCCAGGATACCTAGATGGATTTCCTAAAGAAAGAGCAAACAATTCATTCTTTTATATTAGTGGTGAAATACAGCAAAGAGGAGTCTCTGCCAGTCACATGACCAAGTTCGCTGCTCACCAGTAATCACAGTAGAAGTAGAGACCTCTCCTCATTCTGTTTTATCAGAATTTGGCCCAACATAATTGAATGATTTTTAAAAGTTTGAAATAATGGAGCCCGTTGGTTCTCAAACTTAGCAAGCAACAGAATTACATGGAAGACATATTAAAACACATAGTTTGACCCCATCCTCTAGCTTCTGATGCAGCCGGTCTGGGGGACATCTGAGATGTGCCCTTCAGGCGTGGACCCAGACAATGCTGATGCTGCTGGTCCTGGGATCCCACTTGGAGAGCCACGAATCTAGATACAGATAATTCCAATGAAGAATTGCAGAGAGAAATGTGAGCAAGAGCTGTTCTTTGAGAATTCTGATTGAGGACTCCTTTCCAAAATCAGATTTAAACAACTTATTGAGATCATTCTGCAAACTATTAAAATACAAAGCGAGACTCTGTCTTAAAAAAATATAGCCCAGAAAGATGGTTTTTCTATGCCTGATTAAATGAAGAACTTGCTAATGTGGAGCGTGACATTTGATTTAAAATAGAGCCGTTATGCAAGGTGATCATTTCCAGCAGCGAAAGCCCTAGAAAAACACACTGTATTCCTCAAGTTTTAATCAGTGTAAAAAAATGCTCAATCTTTTTGTAGTTCATAAGCATAATGACTGGGTTTTTATATGCATGGGTGAAATGTGCTTCTTTCAAACATGTTACAATGTCAGCACATCACCCACCCGAAATGAAAATAATAAAGTAAAATATTCTTTCATCTTTCAGTGGCTCTTTTTGTTCCCATAATATATATCTTAATGCTTAAGTACATTTAGCTTCAAGTATCTTTATTTTTTCTTTTTTATAGCTTAATCAGTTCCCATGCTTCAAGTAACTTTAAAAGAATAATTCTGCAATACTCAAATGTATCTACGATTTATATTTGAAATCTGGCTCACCTTGAAAATCTAATGATCTTCTAAATTATCTCAGTTTTTGCAGTGGTAGTTAGGACTAGGACTTATAACTTTTAAAAGACTGGATATTCAAGTTTTTAAATCTTAACTACCACTAAAACATTTACACAGGTCCCCAGCGAATATTAATGTGACTAAGGTCATCAAATGAAGCTCTGGTTAAGGCTTGAGCAATCTTTCTACAATGGGATTTGGAACATAGCTTTCAGAATACTTGGCCAAGTTCTTCCTGCCAGAAAAACATATTCCCTCATCATCCAGCTCTTCTATTCTCACAGAGCCCCAAAGAGGCTAGATCAAATAGAACACAGTGATGCCTCAGCCACGTACCTGAAGAGAACATATTTTATTCTTCCTAAAGTTAAACGACCTAACATCAAGGGCTTACTTGATGTCTCCTGTAGGTGAGAAAAACTGAAGAGGGTCAAGGGTAGAAAGAATGCCCTTGGCAACTCTGCCTAGCCACTTGCCTCTACAGGATGCACCTGCCCAGCTTCTAGCCATGTGAAGACGAAATATTTCTGACTCTATCTCTTTTAAGGTATGACTTAATAATAAGGTGAATTGAGCATGTTCCCAAAATTTTTGCAAATAAGGTATGAATTTTGTTAAGGAAATAAAAATGGGGTGGTGGAATAGACCTATGAGCTTTCTCGACAGCAAATTGAAAGTCAAGAATGTGATGTGGTGGTCCCTAAAAGTGAACACTTTCCAGGTAAAGAGATGCCACACACATTTCACTCAGTAGCAGACAGACCACTTCCAGAATGCTGTATTGATTCTGTAGAGATCTTAGAAGGCTCATCAACAAGCAGGAGAGGCTTCAGAGATGGCTAGGATGGTAAAGGGTCTGAAAAATATGTCTTTTGGGGAACATTGGAAATAGAGTGAATGACTAGAGAAGTGCTGGATGTCTAGAGAAGTCACAGGTGAGGGCCATATAGACACACGAATGTTCTCTTGAAATATTTGAAGAGCTGTCAAGAAAGAGAGAACTTGAACTTCTTTTTCTTAGCAAATGGCAGAATAGAAGCACATGAGAGTATCAGGAAGGCTAAGAACACAGTTTTGAAGTCAGACTATGGATTTACGACTTTGTTCCAGCCATCGTTGGATATATAAATTTGTCAAACTATTTTACTTCTGTGAGCCACAGTTGTTCATGAGAAAAAAATGAATATTAGAAGTACCTATCCTGAGGTGAGGACGAAATGAGATGACAGATAATGATAGACTCAGAACAACCATTTGCATCAGATAACCATTTGTCAGATAACCATTTGCATCAATTTATTTAATAGAGATGCCTAAAAATGCATTGAGCCACTTCCAGAAGGAAATCTAGCAAAGACTGAAGGACCATCAGTCAGGGATGCTATAGTGAGCATCCTGCATTGGAAGAACTAGGTAAGCTGTAAGGACCCTCTCAACTCAGAACTTCTTCACTAGTGTTAACTAGTGCTTAACTCTCTCCTCCCTGTGCTCATAGCACTTCGTTCAACCATCAGTGCAGGATTTATCACACTTTCTCATTAGTAGTTATGAACACGTCTGTCTCCCACCTACTTGGTGAGTTCTTCAAGGTCAGACTATGCTTTATCCATCTTTCTTCCCCATGCATCTTGCCTAGTGCCTGGCATACAGCAGCCTTTCAATAAATGCTTGTTGAAGAAAGAAGATGCTCAGGGCTCAGGGCCAATATGGGCTCCTGGCTGTTTCTCTGTGTGGCAATTCCTCCAGGAAAGGGCCCAGCTCATATTCAACCCAGGAAGCGTTCAAATTCTTGTGATTATGCTAGAAGTATGACTTGGTGGACATTACTTTTCTAGGTGAATAAAGCATTCTAATTGCACAGCATTGAGTACGTTGTGAATTTATGAAGTTTGGACCAATTCCTGCTCCTCTACATGGGAAGCTGCCTCCTGGACATGGGCTGTGGCTTTTTGAGGTGATGCACACACACTCTGGCATCCTGTTCTCCAGCTGAAGTGGTTCAGTCCACACTCACGGAAATCCTTATGGACATGTTCCTTTTTCTGTACTAGAAGTTCTTAAAAGTGGTAAGAGGCTTAATATTGCAGTCCAACTATAATATTCAAAATTAAAACCATCCCTGGCCATCTATCAGAAAACTCTGTTTGCATGATTACTAACTCTGATTCTTGTAGTGCCTAACTTCTTCTCTGGATAAAACTGACATCTTTCAGATCCTCAGACTTATAGATCTTTTTTTTTTTTTAACAGTTTACATGAAGGCAATTTATTTGACTTATAGATCTTTAATGTTTGCTCAAGTACTTACCAAAATATTATCTTTCCTTCAGCCACTCAATAAATACTTGATGGCCGGGCGTGGTGGCTCACGCCTGTAATCCCAGCACTTTGGGAGGCCGAGGTGGGTGGATCATGAGGTCAAGAGATCGAGACCATCCTGGCCATGATGAAACCTCCTACTAAAAATACAAAAGTTAGCTGGGTGTGGTGGCACGCACCTGTAGTCTCAGCTACTCGGGAGGCTGAGGCAGAAGAATCGCTTGAACCCAGGAGGCGGAGGTTGCAGTGAGCCGAGATTGCACCACTGCACTCCAGCCTGGGTGACAGAGCAAGACTCCATCTCAAAAAAATTAAAATAAAATAAAAGAAAGACTTGATGCGTAACTAAGAAGCATCCTAATGGCATGACAGCTTCCAAACTTGCTTAAATTATAACCATGGAGGAGCTTATGTACTCAGAGAAAGTGGTTTAACTGTCATTCAGTGGAAGAAAAACATTCTAATATTTTATACACTGAATTAAACCTGTTCTTTAAGAACCAAAACTCCCCAAACTCCCTAAAAACTCAGAATGGGAAATGAATAAAAGTAACAGATGAACTGCCTGCGCTGGTAACCCACAGCGTATTGCCTTGTGATTCTAAACAAACCGACGGTGGGCCTGCTCCAACACCACGTGCTCCCCTGTGCTGGAATGTAATGAAGGGAAAGTCTGCAAGGAAAGCCAATCGTGGCAAAACCTCTTTGTTCTCTCACATATTCCAAAGATGTGAGGCTCAGGGAGCACTCATGTCCCCAGCCCTGGGCATGACTAAACCTGACTTTTACAAAAGTCAGAACAATTTCCCTTCTGTTTCCAACGTGCTTGCAGCACTGAGAGCCTACCCAAACTGCAAACACAAGGAAGCACATGTTTTCCATCAGGACCAGCTTCTTCAGTCATAATTGGTTGTTATTTTCTGCCATTCTTAAAGCTCATTCTCTTTCTATTAATGTGTATGAGGTTTTTGCTGGGAAAAAGAAAAAAAAAGTCTTTTCCTGTGCAGCATTCATCCATACAACTTTCTTTTTTTTTTTTAATTGCATTTTAGGTTTTGGGGTACATATGAAGAACATGCAAGATTGTTGCATAGGTACACACATGGCAGTGTGATTTGCTGCCTTCCTCCCCTTCGCATGTATCTGGCGTTTCTCCCCATGCTATCTCTCCCCAACTCCCCACCCCCCACTGTCCCTCCCCTATTTCCCCCCACAGATCCCAGTGTGTAGTGCTCCCCTCCCTGTGTCCATGTGTTCTCATTGTTCAACACTTGCCTATGAGTGAGAACATGTGGTGTTTGATTTTCTGCTCTTGTGTCAGTTTGCTGAGAATGATGGTTTCCAGGTTCATCCACATCCATACGACTTTCTAATTGTATCATTTGTTTTCATTCTTTATGTGATTTATGTCCTAACTAGTACATTCTCTACCCCTAGTTTAGATATCTATATACAATCCATTACCTTTGGCCAGTGATGATCAAAAGGACTTTTAATCACTTTTCTGAAAATTAGCAAAAAAAAAAAAAGAGTGAGAAAATTTAAGACATAATGGCAATCACCCTAGTACCTATGGATTCTTGTTATGATTTATTACTTATTATTGTGATATATGCAGTGAATCGTTTGTAGATTTAACGGTTTTGTACTCCTGTTCCTCAATGCAGTGAATTTAGGGTTGGGTTAGTTCACAGTAATTTTTGCAAAACTAAGACTTCTTAGACAATATTGTTAAGGGATTATCTTGTATGCAGAGTTCATCAGTCAGGGCCACTTGGCTAAACAAATTTGACGTTTGTAGTGACCTAAGAAAAAGCCTGAATAAACTTTACACCTCACGGAGATTAAAGGGGAAGGACTTAAAATAAATGTTACCCAAAAAGCCAGATGAAGTGCATTTCTCAGCAGGGTGAGGAGAACACGGGGACTGCAGGATATCTGAAGATCAATTAAGAAACACCATCCTTGTTCCAACTGAACACAGTCATACCAGTGTTCTGCTTACATATGCAAGGAAGAATAAAACTGAAAGGAAAGATGACTGTCAGAGAGGTATGTGCTCTACAGTCACCAAAATGATACCAAGAATTTTCACAGCCAGCCATTCATCTGGCAGAGAGTGACCTTGAATACAGAAAAGCAGGCTGAACCCAGCATGATGCAGAATTTGTAACAGTACTCATAAATGTCCATGAGTAAAACACAAGTCACTCCAACCGTGGTAAACCCACACTAATAAAGGTAACTTTCACAAAACCCTGTATAGCCAAAACGTTAAGATCCCCAGCCACGCTGCAGGATGATAAAGATCTTTCTGTTTACATGGCCAAAACTGGGCCTGCAATTACATAATATGGCTCCCCTGGAAGGAAGAGGCTCCTTGTAGAAGGTGTTGCCACAACTCCCTTAAGAAGGATCAATTTCATGATAGTAGAAATTAGTGCCACTGTGAAGATACTGATGAGATAATCCAGCTACAGAAACTGATAACAAATTCCCTGGGTATTCTAGAAGGACCTCCAAATATATAAAAGAAGGAAATGGTATCAACCCATGAGAATCAAACTTTTTCTTCAACCCATGTCATTTTTTTTTAAGGAACAAAAAGATTGAAGCAAAGCCTGAATAACAACTGTATACTCAGAGGACCCCCACTGGTTATACTATCAGCAAATAATGATGGTAAACAAGACTGAGGGAACAAGGTGTGCTCTGGCAATGCGGTCCTTAGGTAATAGACATTCTCAGTACACCAAATCTAGATTGTTCTTCTTGGAATCTGCAAACCCCGATCATGCCCAAGTACATCAACAAATACAGGACACTATATTGAACAAAAATATTTCTAATTCTGTGAAGAGCATTCCTAGTTAAGGAATGCTTCACTTACAAATTCTTATTGTCCCTTAAATAAATTTCATTGCTTTATAGAGACCTTACTTTCTAGGATTCCAGATCTGCTAATGATGTAATGAATAGTAATAATTATAACACAGCATTTGTAGTTTGTGTTACAATTTTTCATAAATACTATCTCATTCAATATCTTTGAGGTTGGACTTACTATTTTTTTTAAGATAGAGATGGAGTCTCGCTCCATCACTAGGCTAGAGTGCAGTGGCATGACCGTAACTCACTGCACCCTCAAACGTGTGGGCTCAAGCAATCCTCCTGCCTTAGCTTCCTGAGTAGCTAGAACTATCTGCCTGCACCACCACACCTGGCTAATTTATTTTAAAAATTTGTAGAGACAGGGTCTCATGATGTTGCCCAGGCTTGTCTTGAACTCCTGGCCTGAAGCGATCCTCCTGCCTTGGCCTCCTAAAGTGTTGAGATTACAGCATGAGCCACACATCTGGCCAGGACTTATTATTTCCAATTAAAAGATGAGAACGTTGAGGCTAAGAGGGGTAAATTGTCTTCCCCAATATGACATAGTCTATGAAAAAACCAGATTTGGATTCCTATCTGCTCAGAATATTTTTGCCTTTTTTCTATACCATATTATGTCTGACCCATAATGAGATGGATCAAAGGGTTTAAAAAGAACAATTTAGAAGCAGCCATGCAATGTTTCAAAACACAGGTGAAAGCAAAAGATATATAAAACCATAGCTATGCAACTTGTATTTTCCTTCCACAAAAGGCAACTACTGCTGAATCTTCGTCACCTACAGGAAAGGCTATCCTTGGCAGGCCCTCGTCTAAAGACAATCTCCAAAATGTCAAGTAGGCTTTACTTCAATTTTGAGCTAGCACATTAGCATAAATATACATTTCTGGTTTTGGAACTGAGCTTAGCCATAAAATACCAGCTGTCACAGAGCAATCTGTGTTTACTACTCATATCTTATGTCCCGTAGAAGAAGGCTTCACATCAGATTAACAAGAAGCTTCAGGGGTCACTATAAAAGGTAAGAATTTCCAAAATAATTCTAATATCAAGCCTTGACAGCTTGTTCTATCATCAAGCTATTGATAAACCTTTTTTCCAAATATAAGCCGTTTTAGTGACTTTGGTTACTTTTGTTACTGCGTAGGTTGCCCTGGATTCTTTAATTCAGGGCCCACGACATCCTGCTTATAGGTAGAATTGCTTGCTGATGCTGCTAACATTGCCAAGGTATAGCCTTTTGTGGAGATTCATGTAAGAAACACTATCCAACTCACCTTTGCAAGCCGATCAAATCACTGGCTGATTTTTTCATATCTTAAGCTGGGTGTGGATGGAGGAGTCTGGAAGAAAATGTGATGGACAAATTAAAGTTTTCACAAATGGTGAGCATTAACCACCTATCCATAGAGGGTACCTTCCCCTCAAGTCCCCGAAGTCCATTGTGTCATTCTTATGCCTTTGTGTCCTCATATCTTAGCTCCCACATAACAGTGAGAACATACGATGTTTGGTTTTCCGTTCCTGAGTTACTGCCCTTAGAATAATAGTCTCCAGTCTCATCCAGGTTGCTGAAAATGCCATTCATTCATTCCTTTTTTTTTCTTTTTTTTTTTATTGCATTTTAGGTTTTGGGGTACATGTGAAGAACACGCAAGATAGTTGCATAGGTACAAACATGGCAGTGTGATTTGCTGCCTTCCTCCCCTTCACCTATATCTGGCATTTCTCCCCTTGCTATCTCTCCCCAACTCCCCACCCCCCCATCCCTCCCCCATTTCCCCCCAACAGACCCCAGTGTATAGTGCTCCCCTCCCTGTGTCCACGTGTTCTCATTGTTCAACACCCGCCTATGAGTGAGAACATGCAGTGTTTGATTTTTTGTTCTTGTGTCAGTTTGCTGAGAATGATGGTTTCCAGGTTCATCCATGTCCCTACAAAGGACACGAACTCATTGTTTTTGATGGCTGCATAGTATTCCATGGTGTATATGTGCCACATTTTCCCTGTCCAGTCTATCATCGATGGGCATTTGGGTTGGTTCCAAGTCTTTGCTATTTATGGCTAATAATCTCCTTCCTTTTTTAATGGAGCTCAAAATTCAGAGAAATAACGTGACTGAGATTACTTAGTTATTTGGGGGCTCACCTGTGACTTCACAACTGAAAGTTAAATCCTAACCACCCTCTTTCCTCAAATAGTGTTCTTTACACTCTGCCTCACAGTTCTTGCCATTTGTAGTACAAATGTCAGAAAGTTTTGTGTTAGTAGGTGTCCATATTTATCACCATGAACCCTGTACCCCATTTGAATCAAAGGGATTTGTGGTCAGGAAATTTATCTGGACTGTCACTATCATATCTCTCCATCATCGATCAAAGAGCCATTATAAATGAATGGTGGAGAAGATTAAGGACATCCTAGTCTGGATGGTGAAAACACCCTTAGCCAACTAAGCTAGTCAAGATGACCCTCTATGTTGAGCAACAGGAAGTCGTTCTGTTGACATATTACAGGGCAGTTTTTCAAAAGTTGTGTTAACTGTCTTCTTCCAGGTCTAAGAATGTTTGACACAAATCAGAATACATTACCCTGTTTTGCTTTTGTTTTTGTTTTTGTTGTTCTAGATCAATTCTTGACTTATTTTTAACACAGATCTGGAACTACAGAATCTAATCAAGGTAGCATTATACCATTAAAATAAATCTCCTGAGTCTTGTGTTGTCCATCCTGTGCTTTAAATTATACAACACCTTTCATGCAGCATTCAGCCAGCAGCCCATAAAAGCAAGCCACAGGCAATGCTACTCTGTAAACCTGGAATGCCCTTGTTTTGTTCCTAATCTTGCTCAAGCTCCACTCTATCCCAGTTTGATCCAGTTTCCAATCCCTCTCTTATCATTTGCATTCTACGCCTTACTTGGTCCTTAACAATTAATTTTTGTTGCTCTTCAAGCCATCTTTGCTGCTCTTTAAAGTATCAGCTCCTCGTGGCCCCCAAGTGCTTCAACTCACCCTCTCTCTTCCCATCCCTTTGTCCCTCAAACATGCACAGAGAAGGATTTAGAAATATGTCACATGAGGTCAAAGCTGCAGACAGGTCAGTGTGTGGCAATGCCGTGTTTACAAGCTATGAAGTCACTATTCCCTCCCAGGGAAACTTGGCTACCATTGCTATTCGATGTTGCTTTTCTCTTAGACCAACTAAGAACTCAAGTGTCTGAAAAAGTAAAGAAAGATATCGTTGTTTTCTGAACTTTACAACTGTTGAAGGTGATGGAAATACTTGATGCCTCTTTTATACTCATCTGATGACTTAGAAACAGCCTTGAAAATGGATTCCAACATGCTTATTGAAAGAATGTTCATGCTAGTTAATTTCCTTGCCAAAGGGTTCAAAATTAGTAGTTTTATTCCTCTTAAGTTTATAGAATGATATGCTATGGCGATTTAAGGTAAAATATCTGGAGTAATGTTTACAGCAAAAGAAGACCTGTTTATCGATCTTGTGTTCTAAAACCCAGGTCAACATTTTGAACATGAAGACACACTACTTTATTCACTTTTAGTCATTTATTTTTTCTTTGACATCTATTGTTGAAGAATAAATTATTGAATAAGAAAATATATGAGCAGGGTCCTAAGAAAGCATGAATCTACTATGAATAAGGCACAGATCTGGAGAAGCGTGTGTGCACATACACATGTATGTGCATACAGGCACACACATGCATGTTTTAGCAGCAGGAACTGCTTTGCATTGATCTGTTCTCTGAAATTCCCAATATCCCTGGTGTCAACAGCATGAATTCACAAACTGGTGAGTTCACAGTTAAGAGTAAATTCTGTTATCCAAGAGCAGAGCAAGTTAAGTAGCCCATATTTAAATAAAAGGAAAGGAAATTTGTGATTTTTGTCTTAGTAACATTATGCTAATTAGCTAATTAGGCTGGGATATAAATGGTTCATGAAACTTAGATGAACACCGTACACTCTTCAAGACTAAGCTGTTAGCCCACATTCAACTTTCTGCCCACCTCAACTTTAACAACACCTAGCATTCTAATAACAAAACAAAAGAAAAAATCAGAAGAGACCCATGGAGAAGAAAATAACCATTTCTAAAACTCGATATATAATACTTTTTACCATAAAGTGAGAACCAATCTAAGCTTCCTTGTTTCTTTGTTTTAGTATTTTTTATTTTCATAGGTTACTGGGGAACAGGTGGTGTTTGATTACATAAGTTCTGTAGTGATGATTTATGAGATTTTGGTGCACCCATCACCCCAGCAGTATACACTTCACTCAGTTTGTAGTCTTTTATCCCTCATTCCCTTCCCATCCTTTTCCCGTGAGTCCCCAAAGTTCATTTTGTCATTCTGAAGCCTTTTAAGCTTCCTTATTTCTAATTAAAGACTCCTTAATGCTCCTGGTTCCGGGTGTAATAGGGCATCCCATCTAGGTTTGTGTAAGTACACCGTAGGATGTTCACACAATGACGAAATTGCCTAAGAATGTACTTCACAGAATTTATCCCCAATGTTAAGCAAACACGTGACTGTACTTAATTTTATTCTCTGAATCACTTCATGTATTTGTGTCTTGACTTCCCGACTAGGTCAATGAAAGTTATTCATCTTTCCATAAGGATTTCCATCTTTCATTTTTGTGTAGTGTTGACAAATCTGTATTCAATAGGGATTTTATCACATAAAGCAAATATTTTTAAGCATTAAAGTATAGTCATGCACTGAAACAATCCCCCAGAACCATCATTCTCAGCAAACTGACACAAAAACAGAAAATCAAACACCGCATGTTCTCACTCATAGGTGGGTGTTGAACAATGAGAACACATGGACACAGGGAGGGGAGCATCACACACTGGGGTCTGTGGGGGGGAACTAGGGAAGGGACAACAGGGGGTGGGGAGTTGAGGAGGGATAACATGGGGAGAAGTGCCAGATATAGGTAATAGGGAGGAAGGCAGCAAACCACACTGCTATGTATGTACCTATACAACAACCTTGCATATTCTTCACATGTACCCCAAAACCTAAAATGCAATAATATATATATATATAAGAATATTTTTTAAAAAAGTAAAAATTCATTGTTAAAATGACATTATATTCCAGTACAGTGAATAAACATCACAAAATTCACCTGTGGCTGGGTACAGTGGTTCACACCTGTAATCCCAGCACTTTGGGAGGCCGAGGTGGGTGGATTGTCTGAGGTCAGGAGTTGGAGACCAGCCTAGCCAATATGGTAAAACCCTGGCCCTACAAAAAAATACAAAAATTAGCCAAGCGTGGTGGTGCATGCCTGTAATTCCAGCTACTTGTAGGGGGCAGGGGGACGGAGGTAGGCTTGAGCCCAGGAGATCGAGGCTGCAGCGAGCCATAATCACACCACTGCGCTCTAGCCTGAGCAACAGAGTGAGACCCTGCCTTAAAAAACAAAACAAAAAGCAACCTCACTGTACTAACTCACCTTTGATTTTAAAAATAATAAAGGAGACCCTGGCCAGATTAATTTGAGCAAAGAGGTGAGTGGAAAGTCAGGCCGGGCACTCTCTCATGCTGGCTGCTGAGAGGCCCTCCATTCCAGACCAGCAGGAGGCCTGGTCTGGCTAATGCCCACGCAGTCAGCCTGAGACCCTGCTTAGCAGACAGTATGAGCAGATTAGCCAAATGTAAAGAAGGCTGGAAGTGAAAGTCAAGAAAGTGTAAAAAACACACTTGAAACTTCAATGAAATCAATCTACTTCCAAAATCTTTCTTAAGGTAACATTCAGAAATACAGAAAATATGGTATTCCTGATAGTGTTCATTCTGACCATTTAAAAAATTGAAATAATCTAAAACAGATCACAATAGGTAAGTGGCTAGTATAAGTTTTGGTAGAGTCATCCCAGAACTCAAAGAACAAACCAGTCACCTAGACTAGTGCAGTTGGCTAGGGCATGTGAAATCTCCTGATTTTAAAATATTGACAATTCAATTTTTTTTTAAATATTTTAAAGGCCAAGCAAAATATGTTTATGGGCTATGCAGGCCTACATATCATCAGCTTGCTACATCTGATCTATATGGTGAAATGTTTTTGAAAATTATTAAATAATTTTAATGAAAATCCTCTTTTTATAATATCAGGAGAAAACGAGTGTTGTTCTAATTACTTAAAATACATATAAGTAGAAAAAAAGACTAGCAGGAAAGACATCAAAATAATAATAGCTATATGTAGAGAGAGACTATTGATGATTTGTTTTCTTCTCACTTTAATGTAATTTCAAAATTAGTTTCAAATGAGGATTTATTATTTTATAATAACTTTGTAAAACCATCATAAAGAAGGAAAAATACATTTGCTCAGCCCTTCATCAGGGTTCAGCATTAATGCGGCATTACTGACTGGGTGATGTCCTTAAGAAGGGGCAACTCATAAAGGATAATGTCTATTCATTTTTCCAATCAGTCATGCTAAATTTTGTGTGGAAATGACT